TTGCTCTGGTGAAGACAAAACAACTCACTGAACATTTTGTAAAATTATTTAAATGTACAGCAAAGACTGTGTGAAAGGGTGGAGTAGCTCAGGACAAACGCCTCATTTCAACACTGACCTTACTTTGGTAAGTTTCTTTCCCTGGAGAAAAAAAACAAAGAAGTTGATTTATTTTGAGGTATATTGCAATAAGATTTCATTTTATTTATTTTATTTCTTCAACACATAATTGAGAAAGTAACTGACTTTGTCAGAAGATGGTAGAGAAGCTGTTTAGAGTCTGAAGAAAAAAGAGAGAGAAAAAAAGTACACTCATACAGTGTGGTATGTCGATGTGACTACTACTGCTGAGGAGCATGGCCTCAGACTTTGATGCTCATTCTCATTGTTTAACAATTGGATGTGAACTTCTCCAGCCCAAGCTGGAGGAAACCAACAGGGCCACACCAACCACAAAAAGCAGAGATGAAATTCTGAGGATGGGATGAACCCTTAAGTCTGCACCGAGAAATTCTGTCCAGAAAAATTATGAATCAAAAACAAAGGGGACAAAGGGTAGCCCTGGCAGAGCACTCATGCCCAACATCCATCAATAGTGAGTCCAACTTATTACTGGCAATTGTGCACTCACTGAATGCCTTATATCTAATTACCTTACTAAATAAAAATGATAAAAGGCTGCATAACCTCAGAGCATCTAAGTGGCTAGAAAAGAATTCAATGCAAAATCCAGATCAAAAGGTAACTAATGTATAGTGGCTGTGCAGAAACGCTGCTGAGTGTGGTTCTTGAACATGGAAGGACACTTTCATTAGAGTTTTGTAAAGTTTGTAATATATTATTTAATTTAGTTAAGTCTGTTACTGTTATTATCTTGTAACCATATCATTTCCTCAGGGATTAATAAGTGTTCTGATTCTGATTAAAATAATAAAACAAACTGTGATTTTTCCATATGTTCACACAAAGGTTCCAAGGACATCTTTGAGGCTGACTCTAATGTGTAGAAAAATACAATACCAGCAACCAGCAGGGGGCGATAATATATTTAAATCCACTGAGTCGGTAGTAAGCTAAAAACATATGAAGTACAAAGCATTTAAAAAGACATTATTAACACACACACACACACACACACACACACACACACATATATATATATATCTTCTGCTTATCCTTTTAGGGTCCCTTGGGGGAGGGCTGGGGCCTATCCCACCTATCTTAGGGCAACTATTACCACTCACATTCACAACTATGGGAAATTTAGTTTCCATTTAACCGATCCCCACTAACTGCATGTCGCAGTACCCACACATGAACATGGACAGACCGTGCAAACTCTACAAAGAAAGATCCCGGCCTGATGGTGGAATTTAACTCAGGATCAGTGCAACAGTGCTAACCACCACACCACGTTGGCATAGTATTAACAACCAGTGTTGGTCAAGTTACTTGAAAAAAGTAATCAGTAACTAATTACC